ATTCCCAATCAAGCCATCAGGTGTAGCTCCAATAAATGGGTATTGCTTATCAATAAAAAGTCCACATGCTTAAATTTTCCATTAGTTTTCTTGCTGAATTTGTTGTATGGCTTGCTTTTTATTTTCAATCCCATGAGCTACCGAGGTCACTTGCGATAAATTATTTTTGTACAAAATATTTTTTATCAAAGAAGATGTATCCGTAGGGGGGTTTCTCTTGCAAATATTTTCTAAATTCGAAGCTGTTATTTTTTTCTTATTTCAAGCCGCTCACTCGAGTCCCTTTGTAGGACGGTCGATCTTTCAATATGATCTCTGTCTGCTGTAAGATTTATTAAATTGGTTAAATAACTAGCTTTCCCTCGCTCCAAATCAAACATTGACATATCTGGTGCCGACTTAGCTTGACCATAGTCGTGCTATAGGTCGTTATTAGCGTTTTGAAATCTACGTATCTTTTTTACTAGATGTTCCAAATTCAATTTACGTTTATGGGCCCTTTTTTTCGATGTACTTCAAAACTCTGCTTGAAGGACTTCTATTTAACATTTTTTTTGCAGACATGATATGGCGGAATTACCGATAAAAGATACGACTGCTGCTGCACATCTTCCTTAGTACCCGCGTCTGAGAGTAAAATTAATTCTTTTCCCACCCACAAATTTAGCTACAACATTATTATATCTTTCGACCGTGTTGGTATAAACATTTTCAAACTTCTTGATTTCCCAGCCACAGTTGCAACAATGGCATTCAGTATAAATAAAAATGTGCGGTATAAAAACGGTACGGTATACCGTATTTGCCTAATGTCACCTTTCACTCCATCATGCCCATAGTTGTAATCGTTACACATTCTATGATCTCCGTAAGCGTGTTCAACTGAATATGTCATATCTTTATGAAGTACCGAGACTGCATCGTTTTTCGGAGCATCAGACTGGTGGTGATATTTTATCGACCGATTAATTAATTTTCTCATAGCCATTATTTATTGGTTCGTTAAAGTTTTTCTATGCTACTAGGAAAATTTTGTCTCTTTGGCAAGGTCCCGCTTCTTTTTACAAAAATTTCGTAAAATATGATTGCGAAATTCTATTTTTTCAACAGTCAAATTCTGTGTTTTGTAGGAGTTCACCTTTAAAATTTTAGCATATGTGAAAGAGTCACCATCTGCAATAAGTCTTTGGTATATTACTCCGTACTGTACAATAGATGTTTTAAAACCCTCCGCAGTTATATCTGCTTCCATAAAGGTAGATGATCATCAAAGTTTTTGAAGCATTTAAGTTCTGGAGGCGTTATGTTATTTTTACTAGCCCGGCTACAAACCAAATAGTATTTATTTTTTACATCCATGTACAAGACCGCACCTGTTTTTCTGCCAGAAAGGGCCTTAAAATTGGTGCCATAAGAGCGCGCACTCCATGCTCCATCGGCATACACATCGATCACTGGATATCCACTTTTAGTTCAACTTTCAGATACGGCTATTTCTCTCTCCTTATCTATTACTGCTTGCATAGTATCAGCTGCTGTCAGTTCCTAATGTTCATATACCTTGTTTTGCAACTGTACGTATGTATGTCGAAAAGACGGGTATGTCTATTGCAGAAAAATATTCTGCAAACTGCCCGATGCCTGTTGCCACGTTTCCAGTTGTAGCCGCTAAATTTATGCCCAAAGACTTTTCCTCTTTCACAGCATCATTATTTTCTGAAGAAATCGTTACGATTTCTTGACAGACGTTATTGGTTGATGAAGGACCTCATGAAAGGTATAACTTTTACGTGAATCTATGGTGGCATTTCATAACAATTTCTATTTGAAATCGTGAGTTAGTGCTATGTTTGTAATTTTTTTTATCGAGCCAAATTCCATAAATCATGTTTCCATCTTTACGGATCTTTAGATTATATGTTTAATTTTTATAAAATATTTATTTTCATGCACAATAAATGCATATTAGGGTATTTATTTCTCTTCAAAAAAGTGCAAAATCGCTGCAACCTCGCCTTAAGCTAATTTAAGGGATTACTATACATTTCGCTTCTATGGAATTTCTCGAATATGTAGTTTTAAGACTGTACCTAAGTATGCTTGCTGTATTTTAACAGAATTTTACATAGCCTATATTTTACTATAATAACATAACATTATTAATTGTTTACATCTAACGTAGAGGTGCTGGAGCGAGCCAAGTGTAGGAGAGAACTGATGGCTGTTATAGCGAAAAGGAAGGTGGCCTTTTTTAGACACATACAAAGGGGCCCGCAACATGAATTTCTGAGGCTTCTGTTAGAAGGAAAAATACCAGGCAGGAGGACACCAGGTCGACCACGAAGGAAGTGGATAGATGACATCGTGGCCTGGACCGGACTGCGATATCGCCAACTAAAGGAGGCTGCTCATGATCGAGAGGTGTACCGTCTGCTGACCTCCAAACTTCATTTTGAGGATGGCACCCCATGATGATTATTAATTGTTTATGAAATAATAATTTAAATTGAAAAATTATAATCTTCTAAAATTTGTGTGTAGATATAATAAAAGGCAATTTTACTGTGTCAGTTTCAACTTTTCAAAATATTTGTGTGTTCATAAGTTTATGTTTACATGCTATGTTATTGATTCATTATCGCTTTTAAACGAATATATTAACATTATTAAATAAATGTCTTCTCTTCCTGTACTTTTCTAGTAGTGACTTATTTCATTATAAATATAAGTTCATATTAGAAATAAAAATACTATTGAGAATAATTTTAAGATCAAAATTATGTAATCATCTAGCTACACTCATCTTAAAACTTTATTACTAATGAAGAGGAATTAACGTGATTAATAGATATGTAATGTTAGTTGTTATTATTATAGTACCTATACCGTGAAACGCAGAAGTTCTTAGAATCTTTAAATTTTATCAGACAACAATTTCACTGAAGTATCTTAGACTGTTTTATAAATGCGTTTCATAAATACCAAAACATTTTGCTTAGTCTACCATTAATTCAGACTACATTTTAATGAATACACATTAACAGAGTATCAATAACATTACCATGCGTAAACATACGATATACGTAAACAAATATCAGACCTGGAGTCAAATCAATAGACTCAACAAAACTATTATCGATAATGTCGTCATCGATCACTTCTTCATTATCTTGAGGTTAATATTTCCACAGCTTATCGGAAGACTAAATACAGTATACTTAAGGAAGTAAGCAACAAGTGGTCAAAGATTTAGTCTGATAAGCTTGTTCGTGTTGCGATAAATCTTCACCTGCAGTTACCAGTATAATGTTCGAAGTTAATACTTAACCCTTTAAAGTAAACTTGAAATTAAATATCATTCTTTATGTTTGTTCAGATGTTGCCTGTAGCTATTGCCCACACGATGGAGCATTTGATGAAATTCAATTATTCACAAAATGAACTCTATTATTACTAATGGAACTAAATAGAAATATAACATAGACTATTATGCTGTAATTCTGGACACAGGCCTCTCCTTAGAAAGGAGGTTTTGGCCATTGTTTGGTATAGGGTTTGTGTGTTTTCCTTCTCTCTGCAGTGCTGTTGTCCCGAGTAGTTTGCTCCTTTAGTCGGCTCTTACGACACCCGCAGAATTAATATGGGTGGTGACACTTTGTGTTCTTAATCCGTCACCACACAAACGAACTTTTAACATACGCTTTCAATATTACCTACTTGAGAAAAGTAGACAGGGGTTAATCAATTCTATGCAAAATCTAACAACTGTTACTGTGTACTATATTATCAGTGTTGAAAACTATTGAAATGCCTTCATTGACTACTTTGTTAGTTACTAAGGCAGGGACTCATTGTGATATATTAACTAAAAGGAAGATACGCTAGAGATTTTTCCCCTAAATAATAACTTGTTATTGAAAAAAAAAAATATATACTAAAAAAATACGATAGTAAAAAGCCAGTAGCAAAAGGGATTACAAGCGGTCATTAACGAGTCCAATGTTTGGTCATTATTTTTTATGATCCAACATTTCGTACACCACTTGTTACGTACCCATCAACCAGTCAACAATCGCCAGTATAACAAGACCCTGAATACTGTCACACAGAGCTTTACACACTACGGCAGCCAACGGTGCTTGATAGATTGGAACAGGTCAAAAGACGCTGGTCGTTTTCTCATTGACTTGTTAGTACTACCGCGCGTTGTTATTGCCACCTTAAAAGTCGTGAGAGCAGGTAAATGGTGGTTAAATTACGTAATAACAGTGAAATAATATCGCGTTACTTCAGGATGACGCTCACGGTCAACAATGTAGAATTATTTTCAGAATAGAAATAATAAAATTATAAAATGCATAGACATATATTTAAAGAAACACTAATTCTAATTTAAGTATTTGAAATAGTTTTACGCACACAAAACAGAGTTTATGACCACGTAATAGATCGAAAAAAGTTAAAGGACATTTTTTGTAATGGCTTTAGTTGTTACACGCTTAGGAATTGTGCCTACGTTTGTCATCGCTGCCTTGAGACTACTATTTGTACATACGTATACTTTATTAACATTACATTATTTTTTATCAGGTCCCTATCCTTAGCTGAATGCGCCCCTATTTATATTAGAATTATAATTATAATTAGAAGTAAAGTTATATTTTTACATAGTACACATATACTATTTTTAAGTAAATGATAGTTTTAAATATCAATAACTATAAAGATGGATAAACTACATCATGGCTTAAAACTCAGTGCCTTTCTAAAAACCGGTATGCAAAAGTAGTTTGAGAAAGATATGCAAAAGCTTAGCAGAATTGTAGATTTTTTATTCTTGAAGAGAGATAATTCCAGCCGTACAAAAGACTTTTGTAGTTCCGAGTAGACTACTTTTGAGTTATTAAATGTCAAGAAAATTGACAATATGAAAATTGAAACCTGTTTTTTTTTCATATTTCTAGTGCATCCGTAGAACTGAAAAGATATTTTTATCAAAATTATATGCTAAACAAAAGGCAGTGTCTCACCTCATCGTAAATAAAGTTGTCGATCTCCTCCAGCGGCCGCCCGTACAGTTTGGGAGGAAAGGGTTCATATTTCCGAGGTAGCCTTGCGCCATCCTCGACGCTAAGGCGGCGACGAGGCATAAACCCAAACTCGCGAACAAGCTGTGCGCCCCGCGAGCCTGCACGACGCGCTGACTCACGAGTGAAGGGTGTGACGGCGGCGCGCGGTTCATCGCGAGACGGGCCACTAGCCCCAATCGGCTCAGTCGCGAAGGTGACGCCTTCCAGCGGGATCCGCAATTCTTCCCGCCGCGGTTTCTCGCTTTCAACATCAAGCGCATCGCGTGACTGCGACGCTACCAAAGGTGCCGCTGCTTCTGGATTTGTAGCCTCAAGAGTACGAACGATTTCACTGAGCAGCCGCGAGCCGTCTATCTCCTCACCAGGCGAGTTGAGCGGCGCCGGCGGCGGAAACGAGAGCCGCCTCTCGTCCTCCTCCATGGCGCTGCGGGCGGCAGGCTACGCGCGCGCCCGCCACATCGCCACGCCGCCCCTCACGCACACACACACACTATTTGCGCACAAAACACGCCATCCTCTAATGTTACTGCCACCTGAAACAAAAAGAACTAATTTAGTATTCTCTTCTCATCATCAAGGTTCTTTTATTAAGCTAATAGCACGTGCTGTGTTAAAAATCTTTTCTTGAATAAACCGTTTATATTGATCAAGACGACTCTCAGGTAAACAAGATCAGAACGTAATAAATCGAACATTTTTGTTTGATGAATAATTGAAGACAGCTGTATTTGTGTTTACGGTTTCATAAACAGGCTCCTAATCGCACCAGGCTTTTACTACTGAAAGCATCTCAATGAAAAGAATTCCCCTTTTACCTTCAAATTTCCAAAACAGTTAAGTAGGTACCTATTTTATTATTACTTATAGTAATATGCCTTTTATACTTAGAGAACCAATTGAGCTTTAAAATAAAATGGCGCCTAAATTTAATATAGCGAAGCATTGTGCAAGGTATCAATCAGTGGAGTTTTTTAATAGACTACCGGTCTATCTCAGGTAGATCGTATATAACTACTCGTCTGCCCCCTCTTTTCTTTTTTTTTTTTGACATTAAAAAAAATAACACGACAAATTTTAAATCCAAATTCCAAATCCAAATGCATTCTTGTTGAACAAATGTCTTTATTGTGGGACAGCAAATGACGATGAGGCGTCGAGAGCTTGTCAGATGAAAAATTTAATTGCCACAACCTTAATTCATTAAATAATGTATTGCATTATTGATTATTCAATTCATTAAAGATTATCATGAATATAGGCTAATTTATTGTTGACATTGAATTTGTCATTGAATATGCTTTTTTTTTTAATTTATTGTTTCTTGACATTTTCGAATTTGAATTAATCGTTTGACATTATATTAGTGGTATTGTAACAGTTGTGTAAATTGTAGTGTGTGCATGCGATAATTCTGAGATTTTTCATTGAATGCTATTGTGTTTATTATTATGGTCTACATTTTACGAAAAAAATCAAAAACAATGTAAATTGTCTATGAAATATAAATAAAAAAAATGCAATCGAGTTTTAAAATTCATTGCAACACTAATTTGCTAGTCAAATAAAAGTGGGAAATGTTGAGCGCGGCAGAAAACTGCACCAAATATATTCAAGTTATGAAAGTGTTTTTAAACGTTACTTTATCCTCTCCTCGTGGCTTTAACGAAATGAAAATTGTAGGAGCTCCCTTCTATTTTGATAATAAATCCGGTGAACCCAGATAAATATGGGCCTCGATTCCATTACTTTTACTGTTTAAATTACTATTTCACCACTAACATTCATCAGACATACAATAAACATTAAAAGATTGCATTTAGTTAACAGTATTATATTGTTTACTATTTTTAAACACTTTGACGGGTGACTTTCTTTAAGTAGGTAATATTGTCTGAGAAAGACATCTAACACTAGTTATATTTCTACTTATTGTTGCTGAAAATTCCGTGAACTGAATATAATTTTATATCATTAAATGGCAAACAAGCCAGCAACAGCACGTCTACGATAATTCGTTTATGTAGATATTATTCGCGTTTGCAGCATCGAATGTATCACACGAGTAAACGATGCCGTAATATCCTTTTAATGCAGTTTTTTTTAAGAAGTTCCTTATCGCGCGTTACACGCTCTGAACGGATGGGAGCGAGACCGAAAAATATGTAACAAGATTTTTTTCCGACACTATGGTAAACGTCTACCCAAAGCGAAAGGAACTTCGTTCCGACCGGGGGTCCATAGACCCCTCACGCCGTTTTTATTCAACTTAATGGTATAATATACAACTCGGTATTGTGACAACAATATTAAGAACAGAAACAGCCAGTTTAACGTCACCCTAAACATTTGATATAGTGCAAAACTATGTTTTTAACTGTCCTCAATAACAATTTATTCTTGAATGTAGGCACATATTTCTGCAAGAAGCATCCTATATATTTGTAAGTTTCTATCCAGTATTCTGTTCAGTTACCATTTAAAGTATATTAATATCTTATAAACTGATTCAAAAGTTAAATAATAAACTTTAAAAGGTAAATAATAAACTTCATAAAGTAAACAATTGAAAGGAAAAATATTAGTCTAGTGACTAAGGCGTCCATTTTTTATTTATATTTGGTAGGCTACGTAATGATTTGCCAGAAAACTGTGCGCTGTACGAAAACAAAACATACTCTTACACACACATGTACCAATGTGCTCGTATTGTATGTCATATGTTACATATGCTGACGGTAAATACTCACACATAAAAGCTTGGTTATCGAGAGAGCTAACTATTGTGTCCCATTGTCTGTTCGCAGAACTGTAGTAGGAAGTATTTTTACAGAGAAAAGTTAGAGTTTTTTGTTGCAGCCGTTATTAAAATGATGTTTTTGGTTAATAAAGATTTTACTCTTACATTCACAAAGAAGAATTCATAAAAAGAGAATTGTTAGAATAAAATTACTTAGTAAAACTTGGTTTAGAAATTCGATCACGAAAATCATATTCCTACTGCAGGTAACGCCTAAAAACTTGATCACAGCGTTCTCTGACGTCCGTCGTTGTTGATAACTACTTTTTAGTTTTGTTTTGATTAAACTCAGATTAATTATAATTATTTTTGTTTTTAAATTGTACTTAATAATATAAATTATTCTAAGTACACCTACTCACGTACTACTACTTTTAGCAGTTTATTAATGAAAAGAATTCGTAATAAATTTCCACTTACTAACAAAATTATTTAGACAGTATAAACTTACACGAATATGAGTAAATATCATTAGTAATTTGGTTTCATATTAAATTATAGTTAACATTCGTTATATATTATTACAGTTCAATTATATGGGCACACAACTCAACCTGATGAACGGCGTTTAAACACGTGTATAATGTAAAACCGGTGATTAATTAATCGCATACGAGTAAAAAAAAGACGGGAATACCCGTAAAATATATTTTTTTACGATTTGTTAGACTCTGGTCCGGGATAAAAGGTCTTTGTTAGAGTGTAAAATAATGTTACATTTTTTGTTTGTACTGGTTCCCGTAATATTGTAAAATTGAATGAGAATTCACTGGTTATTCTGCGATTTTCTTTTATTTAATTTAATTTGAATAAACTGAATCGTATTTTAAAACCTATTTACATGTAGCATAAAAAGTACAAAGTATGCTGTTGCTTCTGGGGTATGGTCTAACTTTGGACTTAAATTTTCATGAACTTTCATGTATATACTTTACAACTGTAAGAAGGTATTGACTATCTCGAAAACAATGCGAGTAAGCATAGTTACTTCTACTACATCAGGCCAATAGGAGAAAAAAATCTAAGATAGGCATACAACATCACATTAATCGGGTACCTATAATTATGAAAGTTACAAATATAAGGTAGTATCAATGTTAGCTTGTAGAAAATTATATATACTTGTCATAATGAAATAATATTTAATTTTGTTTTTTACCTTTTAATTGTTTATATATTTTTTGTTAATTCATTTTTTATTTTATTTTACTTTTCCTCATGCTACTTTTGATGCATGTTGTCACTCTTTAAAATGCTATGCATTTCAACTAGTTTTAGTAAATTAATTATTTCATATGCATAAGATTTAACGTACCAGGCACTAGTTGTTCTTATTAAAGAAATAAATTACAATCAGAATAAGGAAGTTCCGTTACTTAGGTACTCTCATAGTAAGAACAATTTTAATTACGAGGTTCGTTATGCAAACTATTGGATACTAATCAAAGGTATTTGTATGTATTGTATATCAATTTGCCGTAACATATATGTATTTACTGTACTCCGGAGTGCGCCGGTCCGAGCTACCGCCGGAAACTATTATAGTACGCGCAATCAGCTGTTCGAACATAATTGAATTTATTGAGGTAATATTCAGTATGAGTAAGGCTTAATTTCAACTTTGGCATGAAGGCTAGTACATGAATCGTATTCCTTACTGCGATTGATATTATGTATGCTATCTGTATTAGACCTGATAGGGTTAGACAGTTTCTGCTGTTATATTGTGATATCGTTCGTCATATTGAATTTTTTCATTGTTGTAAGTTTATTTCTTTTTAGTCTCCAAGAAAGGATAATATACATAATAATATCATACACTATAAAGGACATTAATGTTGCCATGTACTCCTTCAACTACAGGAGACTACAGCGTGCGAAGTAGCAACAAGCACTTACATCCTATGTACAAGGAATAGGACTAAATATATTGAACTATTAGGCAGTTATTATATATATATATTATAACTGAGCTGTTTTTGTTTTATAGTCACGGGAGCAAACGGGCAGACGGGTCTTCTGATGGTAAGTGGTTATCGCGGCCTATGGACTTTGTGGCGAATAATAGAATAAAAATTTTAAAAAGGAAGATTTTGGTCTCATTTTTTTCTAGTGCAAAACAAGGCGGGCAGCTTTTAAATAATAAAACTACAAACAATTGTCCGTATATTAAATGCACTGCACTTTACACAGAAAGAACAATGGCAGAAACATATTTACCTAAAACTTAAGCGTTTAAAAAATCCAGTCACAGTAAACTTAATCAATATTTTTTCTATGATTTATCATTACACCACCATGTGTTGTATAAGTCTTATAAGAGATAAGATATTTTTGAAGATTTTATTTGACCTAAGTACGTAATGTCAGATTCGCGATCATGTATAACTGACTAGGGATGCGTGGTGGCAATATTATATTATTGAACATTTTATCGATAATCGATTCTTATAGCTTTGGCTGAAATATTTACCGAAGGTTCACCTATTATGATTATGAATTTGCTTCTGCCCACGTCTTCACTCGTACGGTAGAGTGACTGAATCAACATAATTAGAAATTATTTAAAATATTTTTGACTCTCTTTAAACGATTTTAAACAGACTAAAGAAATAGAATATAG